GCATCCAAAAGGATTGAATCAACGGGCAAATCGCTTTTTCCTTTTTTATATTCAGTTACAGTAGGCAAGGATCGACAAGAACAAAGGAAAAAGCAGAGGAAACTGGCTAGTGGTAGCTAGTAACAGAAACTTATAAATGAAGAAACAGCGAAATTATAGTTGATTTGCGAACGCTTCAGAAATAAATGAAGATAAAAAGAAGATAAGAGATATGAGAGATGAGGGTAAAAAATAGAGCAAGGAAACAACAAGCCTATCTGAAGAGATGACGAAGCTCAAATGACTTGAAACCGCAACACATGCTCGTGTCCGAATGTCTGTCATCGATCATGTTTATCTCTTAAGACATGAATTATTTGAGTCACTTTGAGTACATAGCACGTACAGACAACATCATACTTTAAATTATACCATCAGCTGACACTGATCTGCTCTGAAAATGCAGTTGACTGGCGATGCACTTTTCACGTAGCGTCACTTGACGTCTGTGAATTTTTGAGTTTTTAAGAATGACAAATGTAACAGATGAGAGGGGTGGTGTAATGACGAATCTATCGCATACCGTGAGCACTCTTCTGGCTCTAATGTCCACTGATTCTGCCCCCCACTAGGCTACATTGGTGTCAGAGAAGCGATGCCCGGGCATGCACAATCGGAAACATCCTCTCTAGAATTTAGTCAAGCAGATTGGCAGACTCAAGTAAAGAAAATGATCACGTTCGTAGATTCGCTCTCCCTCCATAGGGGCGTACCCCCCTGACCCGTTTTGAGGACATGTTTCACGGAAATGCATTGTTACCAATATGCCTCCTTATCTTGCAATAGCGCCCAAGCTACCCATTGCTCAGCCCCCACAAGACACTGTGCAGGCAAAATCGCATTCAATTCTCTACTGCTGTGATGAGAAGTACAGAATACGAAGTTTTACGTTTTTCTGCCTTACGTATTCTTGAGATGGAACTTATTTGGTCGACGTTCCGAACAATTCCTCGTCTTCAGGACCTAAAGACGGTTCGAAGTTCTAAGCATGTGACCCACCCCGGTTAAGTCCCGCAATACTTCTCGAAAACTACGAATAGAAAAAGATCCATGACTTCTACTGGCTAAATTTGATCAAATATAATGAGAAATTGGTATGGTAGAGGATTTGGTTACACGATCACGACCGATTTATCGAATTTCTAATCGTACCATCCACACCTCAGCGGTTGGTGAAAAGGTACCAGACCAGTCTGAGAAGTTGAACCATTGACCGCACAACAGTTGGCGTTTGACCTTCTGGCGATGGCCTAAGCCAAATCGTGCTGTCAAAATACCAACGTCTGAATTGGAAGCGATTGGGTCGCATGTTCGCAACAGGAATATGATATTAGTAACGAATATCCTTCATCCCCTTATACTTTGAATTAATCCATCATTCTCTAGCAACACTTCACAAAAATACATGTACTAGTGCTCAAACACATTTTTGTTTAATTATTAATTCTTCATGGAATCTCCATTTCCAAGCCGTAATGCACAGAAAGTGGCGTAATGTGAATGCTCCGAACTCAAACAAACTTCAGATTATCACTAGATTCACGCTTTTGCTTTTTTTTTCCGAAAACTGGATGTTAATTTTTTAGGCTTATTTTTTTCTCTCCAACAGAGATAGCATTTTAATAGTTGCCGTCACCATTTTCCTTCACCGACAATTGCAAATTTTTCAGATCTCATCCTACGTTTTCGCCGATTCTTTACTACAAGGTACGGATATCCATTGTGTTTAGTCCGACTGTGGCAAAAGTAAGAAAATGGAACGAATCGAATCACCTTTCAGATCGAAGTGTCTCCTGCTCAGCATCTTCAATGGATGTTTCTTTATCTTTCGCAAAGGATTCTCGGGTGGTGTTTTCACTGGAGAAAAGGAATCGAGGAACGGTGCAGAGTGAGTCACTGCCGCTCATCATTCGTTTTGATAGATGAACTATTCAAATGAACGCTCTTGTTCACTGAAAGCCGTTTGCTCATCGAAATTTTCCATGGCCAGTTTCACAACAGCACTGTTCCTGCTGGAGAAAGTTTCCTGCACTATTCCTTGCGCAGTACTTTTGCATTCTACTGCCCTATCAAATTTTTTAAAAAAGAGCTTAAGGGCCGTGAATCCGGTGCAGTCGTCCGTTCAACATCACTTTGGGGTTGTTTATGTGTGCTGAAGAAAGAAACACACCCTCCACTCAATCGGCTAGCATCGGCATTTCCCAAGTTCGACTGCATAGGCGAGACGTGCTCAAAGGTTCTAGCGGTCATCGTAATTTGTAGGAAGGGTTCAGAAAGACGAGGTGGTGTTAGTGCCAGTGGTACGCCAGTGGCGAAAAAAGCGGAGAAATCCGTCAAGAAAACGCAAAACGGGACCCCTTTTTGGCCGTTAGCTTCCACTTCATGAACAGGTAACAGCTCAGAAGTCGGACGTATGAACGAGTTCACCGCAAGGCGTTTGGTGGCACCATGCCAAACCACGCTCCAATCGAGTTGCTCCAGTTGTGCCGCTGCTGGCAACGCAGCTCGTCCAAATCACCAACTAAACTAGTGGCGGATTTGAGGGCGGGGCGCTTTCGATGTCCCTCCTCAGCAGCCAGGCACCTTTCGTCGTGGAAGCGCGACAGCTCGCCCCTTGGCAGCAGAGTAACTTCTTCAAGTTGTGCACATGCTTTCCCGATGGGCTTCCTCGTTATCGTAATCGCTGCCTTTAAGTCCCACTATGATCCTCAATGGTTGGCATGTGTGGTGCGTCTCAAAAGGGAACCAGTTAATGCCAAAGCTTTATCCCTCTTCCTCTTGATCACCACGGCCACTGTTTCAAACCGTATTCACGTCAGCTGTACGCCTTCACATTAGCGCTTTATTGAGTTGGATATCGTTATGGTGGCTATAAACCTAAGATCTCTTTGGTGAACGATTTTTCAGCATCGGCGACGTCAAGGTGAGAAACAGGATGCTCATTCGATTTGCCCTATTCCAACAGTACGGAATGTGTCAGACGCGAATGGGAGGTCAGTGTTTCCAACGTGTTGTTGTACGCTTACAAATAGTAATAACTACTTAAGCAACTGAACTTTTAATTAAGTCGTACTAGTTGTTTAATAAAAGCGACTAATAATGGGCACGTTCGATCATCTATGGAATCTCGGCATTCTTCGGTATTAATGATATAGAGCATTCCGCCTTGCGAACGAGATGTTAAATAACACTTTATTCGGCTGAGGTTCCCGTTATCGCCTTCTTTGGAGCCTTTAGAAAAGTCAAACTGGTCTCAATGTGTTCAACTTATGTACTTAATTATTAAGCGAAATGTGCTTGGATGTCAAATTTTCGGTGTTCCAAAATTATTTGCGCCTATACAAAGCAATACATTTTAAGCTTTCAAACGGAGAATGGTGAGTGGATCTATACATATGTTTCCTTGCGTCACGTACAACAATGTGGAACAGCCAGATTTTGAGGTGATATCCACTGCGACGAAGGCTCGAAGTCGCTCCTTGGTCATCGCGCACGTTATACGTAGCTATTCCTCTCCCAAGGCTTCCTTTTGTACTGCTTCCAGTGACTGAAAAGTGTAGTGAAGAACTCGACAGACCTTTCACTCAAGTGAGGTTGGTGCGGACCTGGTGAAAATAATGGTCAGTCTTGATTCTAGCACAGTCGGCTAGCTGAACCGGCACCACTCTCGGATTAACTTGGCTCTGTAGGCCAAAACATTTTTCTGCTTAAAGCACCTGAGTTATTCCCACGGTGGTACTTGGACCGAGCCTTCACTACGTTTGTCTCAGGTGTTCGGGTTTGTTGCAAGCAGTCTTTCCTCATTGAATAGCAATCTCGACATTTCTGGCCTGAATGCAATCGTTCTGGTTACTGGTCCGCTCAGCTGTGAAAACTTCCCTTCAAAAAAGATAAAGGAGTGCGTGTCTCCACTGATACGGGACCAACCTTCTGCATTTTTCGACCCTCTTCCTTGTTGTTGTCGGAGATGAGATGTCACTTCTGCATAGGTGCGGCTTTGAAGTTCTTCATTGACTATTAGCCCTATCAACGACTTCGATTTACCCAGCTTCTTTGGTATTCTTTCGACGGAGCCTCGTGGGTTGCGGCCAACTTGAGAACGGAAGTTTCAGTCACCCTTTTGGCAGAATGGCTAGCCTTTCTCCCTCTCTCAGGCCTATGCATAATGGACACTGTTTCCTAGTATCGTAGGATAACCTTCCGTATAAGCCCTTGTGGGAACTACAAAATATTTGTCGTTGTCCTTTTTGGGGAATCCTGCCTCGTGCATGCGAATGATCGCAGGTCGCACTGAAAGACCTTTCGCTACCCTGAAAGTAGCAGGGGATTCTTCCCGTCAATGAAACACATTACAAGAAAACCTCCCTGCAAAATTAATCATTAGCAAACGAAGTGGAAATAGTCGAGTACTTTCGCCGAATAATTTTTTGGAACATCCTGTATTTAGGACAGGTCCGCAGCTTAGGGTAATGGTGGTTGAAGTTATCCTTTCTATCAGGACAAAGAGTTTTTAAAAAATAGATATCAAAATTTCAATAGAGAGGTGACAGTAAATCGCTGATAATGGAGAAGATACTCTAAATTTACTACTGATAGAAAATATTCTTCATGTAGCTTGATATTGATGTTAAATGTCTGAAAATTTGATGACATAAAAGGTGCTCAGCTCACGAGACAACCTAATATATATGAGTCATTTTAAAATTTGAGAGATATACAAGAATATGAGTCAGTGGGGGGGGGCTGTTGATCAGTGCTCTTCGACACTCACCCGGCCCCCCAGAGATCTCTTTCTATCATTCCGTTGTTGGCCTAGATTGCCGCTTCTGTAAGATAGCCGACTCCAGCAGATGAGCAGAACAGCTTTCGGGTATAAACTTGTTCATGTCTATTATCAAACTCAATCATTTTTACAGCTCGATCTGACAACTTTCGATTACCAGACGTCCGGCGAGTACAGTATGAAGCTGATCATAAGCCCCGTTGATGGTCTTCTTGTCGAAGGCTTCTCAGCGATGAGCGTTCGTTGTGTGTACAGTACGCAAGACATCACTCTCACTCTTCCTCCAGGACCAAACGGACTTCCAGCATTACAAATCAAGTACGAAGCACTTAAGTAAATTTTAAAACCTCTGGTAGAACATTTTGGTGGGATCGTTGAGGTTCCTATGTCATACTTGGATCGATCAACGATTAACGTTAATCATTGAAGGCAACTTCGTAGCGCTAGTTTGTAAGCAATGTCCCTCAAACTAGACCTTGTTTTTAACATTCATCGTTTGGAACATCTGTGAATTATGGCGCAACTGGGAAGAGGGAGCGGAAACAAGTGGCAGTCCCGGGTATGATTGAAGCAACTCTTCAGGCAGCATGCTTTCTGGGATCAACGGTACCTTGTTGGGAAGTAATTTGGGTCGAAGCTACCGACCCTGGGACTTTTTCATTTCCAATCACTGGGGACCCGGACCCTACTTTCAAAAGTCGAGTGTGGGTCCCAGTGTAATTGCTGTCCGGTTTTCTTCACTTAAAACTACCTTTTAGTGGACCTCAACATGATGAAGGCGTCATCACTGGAAATGGAGGCGCCCCATTGCTCTCAATGCAAATTCTTGATGGCCATGGAATTAGCGGCAGTCCATTGGCAAGGGCCAGCGTGGGTCAGCGGATCACACTTGATCTAGCTCTGAAAAACACTGGTAAGCTACTGTGGTTTAGATTGTTTCTTTATTGGTCGATTGCATCACTTTTGGAGTGAAACGATCACCATGAAAGTTTGCGTTCTGAGGTGTCACTTTTAGCTATCTACGATTTTTACGTACACTCATGTTACGCACATGACGGCACGAACACGGCAGACGCCAGCATCAACATCATTGATAGCAACGGGTAAGTGCACTGGAGAATCTTGGCTGGGCTCTAGTGGCTCCGGGTCTCGGGGTTCTGAAGAAAACCTCCTTGTTTCAGATGTGCTGTTCGGTTGAGCCGGGCTGTGTGGACGTCCCTGCCTTCACTACAGAGCCTATCAACCACGGTCCCAAGCATGTCTATCTCCATATGTGAGAGTTTTAGTTTTCTACTCTTCACAACTTCGAGTGCGTGTTATGTTAGCTTAAAGGCAAACCCCGGTATTAGGCTCACTAACCGCGCCACGAGTGAACTTGTTGCGGTCCACAGACGTACTAATTTTGTATTAATTACTTTTATTGATGGTCGTCAGGGTAAGAAAGAGAACGAGAAATTGAAACCATACGCCCCCCAAATTCGGAATGACTCAGACAACCTTGCTAAATCTGAAGAATGTAAATTTTTTGAACACCGTCATCACCCTGTGGAATCACCTAACTGATGGCTGACCCCGGCACAAATTGGCTCGCAATTGCTAACATGGCAGAGGAATTTGTAGATCAGAAAAGGGTCTGACACGCAACAACTCAAAACTTTAATTTTTTTACCATGTAGTGAGTGACTTCTGTCTTTCACAATTATGTTATGGCGTTATCCAAAATGAATACATACAATTTGGGAAGAATTTGCGCAAGTGAGAAAAGACCGGGTGGACTTGGGCCTGGGACGCGTCTCCTGTGTCATTAATGTCCCACGGTGGGTCAAAGGTGGGACGCGTTTACCGCTCACAGCTCGCTGTCATCAGTTGCGACCATTTTAAACCAATTAGAAATGAATTTCGAACCAACCATTTAAACCAAATCAAAAATGTACAGAATTGTCTGTGTGTTAGACCCTTTTCAGATGTACAGAAGGATGAGGATGTACCTCTGCCGTGTTGGCAATTGCGTAGCAACTATGCCGGGGTCAGCCATCTGTTAGGTGATACCCAAGGGGGATCGTGTTCAAAATTTTGTAAGGGATTGCAATTACTGGGAAAAGTATTATACATCCGCAATAAACGTGAAGAGAAAGGTTTGGGAATGACAGGAGGGAAGTAGCGAAGGCTCCGATATTCGTCTAAAGCAGTGAATAGCACTGCCTCTTGCTCTTTTTTTAAGGATTAGATGTTATTGCCTCCCGCAAGCAAATGAAAAACGTACCGATGGGACCCATACGCTCGACCTAGCACGACCCACATACTCACCCCATCTTATGATTTTATCACAGATGAACCAAACCACAAACAAATCATTCTACCTTGGAAGGAAACGATTACAATGAAGGGGAGCGCATCGGAGCGCCACACAAAGAAGTTACTTGGCTGCCAAGGGAGCGAGGTGTGGCGCTTCCGCTAGCAGGGCTTCGGAAACACCTGCCACAAAAACGGTCCGCTCATTAGTTCAGTTAGTGATTTGGCGGCTGTGTTGGCAGCATAGTCCGTTCAAATCACAACTGGAGCAACTCGATGGAGCATGTTCTGGCATAGTGTCACCAAAACAAGGCATGATCCTCACACGTCCGCCGTCTGCCCGTCCGTGAGCGCCAATCGGCGGCCACACAAGGGGGTCACGTTTTGCGTTTTCTAGACGGATTCCTCAGCGTTTCGCCATGGGCGTACCAGTAACCCCCCTTCCCACCCTCAGGATCCCGCCAGAAACTATCGTAATCGCAGCCTTTGATTTTAGGTACGGTTTCCAGTTTACCTCCTCACAATTCGTTCACTTTGAATGTCAAGTCAAACCATGCGTGCACTCATGTCGCAGACAGGTTCGACTTCCATCACTTGCTGGGTTTTTTCCAAGAAGGAACTCAGAGAGCTCAAATCTGTTTCAGCAATGTGAACCTGATGCTGGTAAAGCGCCTCTGATCCCGGCACTTCGTCGAAGGCGAGAGGAAGTGGAAAAGAATGCCACTCTTACGACGCTCAGGATGCAAACCGTTCTTGAGATCGAACCCCAGCAAGTTCAACGAGCAGCACTCAGTGAGTTTTTCCTAATCTCCGAGAAATTCAACGGATTTTGTAGATTAAGATAAATAATACTAAATACTAAACTACTACTACTAACTACTGATAAATAAGTATATTTGTATTTCAAAGAGTATTACCCTATCAGTGACTGCTTGTAGTTTCTGATTAGCAGTGAAAAATTCTAAACCGATTCTAAAATGTTTGTTCCAGGCAGCATCGACTATTGTAAGTTTATTAAAATACATTAAGAAAATTAGTGAAGCGGGTTAAAATAGTAGCTATCATGCAGCCATCAGGCCAC